ACTGTATAGCACTTGACCTGGAATTTTTGCGTTATCCTAGGTAATTTACATTATGTATAATAACTGTATTTGAGTACATGTGAGAGACAGATATAGACAGAGATACAAATAGGCAATGATATAGACAGATAGACAGAGATATAGATAGAGATATAGACAGACAGAGATATAGACAGATACAGACAGAGACGGCCAAAGCCAGCCGAATACGTAAGAACATAAGAAAGAAGGAACACTGCAGCAGGCCTACTGGTCCATGCAAGGCAGGTCCATGTCACCCCCTGGCTTAGACCAATGACCCACCTAGTCAGGTCACATCCTCTGAAAGAAGGAGCATGACATCTGACCCAGTAGCACAAGCTAGTCAGGTCCAACTCACACCCACCCACACCCACTCATGCATTTATCTAACCCATTTTTACTTTCCTCTTAAAACGTGAGTGTTAATATGACACGACATCAGTGAATCACTGGAGTTTGCCACATTATTTGCTCTAGCTGGCGTTCAGTTGAACTGGTGCTCCCACAAGGTACTAAGTGGTCCCTGATATTTTTCATAGTGTGCACACTGAGTGGACAGACCCATTCTTTCATGTCTAGGCAACTCAGGCCTATCACACCAAATTTGAAGGAATGAAAAATAAAACGTTGATCTATGTTTGGAGCCCACCGCACTTGAACGTATATCTACGTGTGGACAATTTAAGGGTTAAATAGTGCAAATCAAATTACTAAACAAGATTCATTCTTGATTGCAACTCATGCAATAGCAGTAAATGGCGAATGAATTTGGCATTTTATTTTAAGGTGAATGCATTATGTAAATACAGTGGACCCCTGGTTCACGATATTAATCCGTTCCTGAGAGCTCATCGTAAACCAAAATTATCAGAAAGCAAATCAATATTCCCCATAAGAAATATTTTTTTTTATTATCACACTGGCCGATTCCCACCAAGGCAGGGTGGCCCGAAAAAGAAAAACTTTCACCATCATTCACTCCATCACTGTCTTGCCAGAAGGGTGCTTTACACTACAGTTTTTAAACTGCAACATTAACACCCCTCCTTCAGAGTGCAGGCACTGTACTTCCCATCTCCAGGACTCAAGTCCGGCCTGCCGGTTTCCCTGAACCTCTTCATAAATGTTACTTTGCTCACACTCCAACAGCACGTCAAGTATTAAAAACCATTTGTCTCCATTCACTCCTATCAAACACGCTCACGCATGCCTGCTGGAAGTCCAAGCCTTTTCGCACACAAAACCTCCTTTACCCCCTCCCTCCAACCTTTCCTAGGCCGACCCCTACCCCGCCTTCCTTCCACTACAGACTGATACACTCTTGAAGTTATTCTGTTTCGCTCCATTCTCTTACATATCCGAACCACCTCAACAAAACCCTTCCTCAGCCCTCTGGACAACAGTTTTGGTAATCCCGCACTCCTCCTAACTTCCAAACTACGAATTCTCTGCATTATATTCAAACCACACATTGCTCTCAGACATGACATCTCCACTGCCTCCAGCCTTCTCCTCGCTGCAACATTCATCACCCATGCTTCACACCCATATAAGAGCGTTGGTAAAACTATACTCTCATACATTCCCTCTTTGCCTCCAAGGACAAAGTTCTTTGTCTCCAGAGACTCCTAAGTGCACCACTCACCCTTTTCCCCTCATCAATTCTATGATTCACCTCATCTTTCATAGACCCATCCGCTGACACGTCCACTCCCAAATATCTGAATACATTCACCTCCTCCATACTCTCTCCCTCCAATCTGATATCCAATCTTTCATCACCTAATCTTTTGTTATCCTCATAAACCTTACTCTTTCCTGTATTCACTTTCAATTTTCTTCTTTTGCACACCCTACCAAATTCATCCACCAATCTCTGCAACTTCTCTTCAGAATCTCCCAAGAGCACAGTGTCATCAGCAAAGAGCAACTGTGACAACTCGCACTTTATGTGTGATTCTTTATCTTTTAACTCCACGCCTCTTGCCAAGACCCTCGCATTTACTTCTCTTACAACCCCATCTATAAATATATTAAACAACCACGGTGACATCACACATCCTTGTCTAAGGCCTGCTTTTACTGGGAAATAATTTCCCTCTTTCCTACATACTCTAACTTGAGCCTCACTATCCTCATAAAAACTCTTCACTGCTTTCAGTAACCTACCTCCTACACCATACACCTGCAACATCTGCCACATTGCCCCCCTATCCCCTGTCATACGCCTTTTCCAAATCCATAAATGCCACAAAGACCTCTTTAGCCTTATCTAAATACTGTTCACTTATATGTTTTCACTGTAAACACCTGGTCCACACACCCCCTACCTTTTCTAAAGCCTCCTTGTTCATCTGCTATCCTATTCTCCGTCTTACTCTTAATTCTTTCAATAATAACTCTACCATACACTTTGCCAGGTATACTCAACAGACTTATCCCCCTATAATTTTTGCACTCTCTTTTTATCCCCTTTGCCTTTATACAAAGGAACTATGCATGCTCTCTGCCAATCCCTAGGTACCTTACCCTCTTCCATACATTTATTAAATAATTGCACCAACCACTCCAAAACTATATCCCCACCTGCTTTTAACATTTCTATCTTTATCCCATCAATCCCGCTGCCTTACCCCCTTTCATTTTACCTACTGCCTCACGAACTTCCCCCACACTCACAACTGGCTCTTCCTCACTCCTACAAGATGTTGTTCCTCCTTGCCCTATACACGAAATCACAGCTTCCCTATCTTCATCAACATTTAACAATTCCTCAAAATATTCCCTCCATCTTCCCAATACCTCTAACTCTCCATTTAATAACTCTCCTCTCCTATTTTTAACTGACAAATCCATTTGTTCTCTAGGCTTTCTTAACTTGTTAATCTCACTCCAAAACTTTTTCTTATTTTCAACAAAATTTGTTGATAACATCTCACCCACTCTCTCATTTGCTCTCTTTTTACATTGCTTCACGACTCTCTTAACCATAAGAAATAATGGAAATCAAATTAATCCGTGCAAGATACCCAAAAGTATGAAAAAAGAAAACTTTTACCACATGATATATTAAGTTTAATGCAATATAATAATTACAATAACAATAATAACAATAGAATAATCACAATAGAATAATTGACACTTACCTTTAACCCCTTGACTGTCGCAACCCCCAATCCTGAGGTGTCTCCTGGTGTCGCACAATGTGAAAAAAAAAAAAAATGATTTTTCTTATGAAATGATAGAGAATCTTTTCCCGATTGTAATGACACTAAAAAAACGAAATTTGATGGAAAACTGACGGAATTATGCTCTCGCAAAGTTAGCGACCCCGGCGATATTGACAAATCGGCGATTTCGCCCACTTTGAGCCCTATTTTCGGCTAATTCCTTTGTGCCAGTTGACTAAAGTCATAGCTACTTCTTTAGAACTTAATTTTTTCTATCGATTGAGTACAAGAAACTGCCCATTTACCGATTTCAACTACCCAATAATGTGGTCAGAAATTTGCAACTTGGCCAATTTCACGAAAATTAAAAAATATAACAATGTCAAAATAAGGTCCAGAATGAACAATGCAGACATTCCTGGCTCTAAAATAACATTTTCTTTGTTCATCAGTCATGTCTCCAGGCCCCTGTGATATTACTCTTGCTTTCTATTTTGAATTTTTATTCAAACAAAAAATAGAAGACTTACTATTATGCAGACTACTGCAATACTGTAATAATTGTATAAATAACATCAACCCATTCATGACTGCATATTAGAATGGCTAGTTGGACATTTATTGGACAATGACATCATTTGTTTACTTTTGAACATCGGTAAAAATCAAACATTTCCCCTACTTTGAGCTCCATTTCCAGGTTCTTTTTATAGTAAAATCAATCAGTCACCTCTATTTCTATAATATGTTTTCCATTCTATCAAATGAGACCAAGAAAACGAGAATACAGCCATAAATACTATACGAAAATAGACCACAAAGTCGGCATTTTAATTAAAAAAAACGGTCGGAGTTTTTTTTTTTCTCATTATGCACTGCGTGCTCCAGGATTTTTTTTTATATGGTGCACACTGACCACACAGACCCATTCTCTCACATGTGGGCCTACCAGCTTTCACCTGCTTGATTTGAAGCCACTAGAATTTATGAGTATATATACGTCAAACACGGTACCTCGTAAGACGTATATATACGGCCGCGACAGTCAAAGGGTTAATGAAGATCTGGTGATGATTGATGGGATGGGAGGAGGGGAGAGTGTCGACGTTTTTAATGTTTAGAAGGGGAATCCCCCTCCATTAGGACTTGAGGTAGCAAGTCCTTTTCCGGGGTTACTTCCCTTCTTCTTTTAATGCCACTAGGACCAGCTTGAGAGTCACTGGACTTCTGTCGCACAGCATATCTGTCCATAGAGGCCTGTACCTCTCGTTCCTTTATGACTTTCCTAAAGTGGTTCACAACATTGTTAGTGTACAGGTTCCCAACACGACTTGCAGTAGCTGTGTCAGGGTGATTTTCATCAAAAAAGGTTTGCACTTCAAGCCACTTTGCACACATTTCCTTAATTTCAATAGTCATTAGCACCCTTGGTCTCGATGGGTTGGCACTAGAAGCTTTCTTGGGGCCCATGGTGACTTATTTTGCAGAAACAAGCACCAAAAACAGTGATAATATGGATAATATAGAATGTACCGAATGTATCCTTAGATGCGCGCACACTGGCTGGCTTGTAAACACTGGACACGTCTCATACGAATCGAATCACGTACTGGGTTTTGTAACGGGAACCGAGGCAAATTCTCTGCGATATAATGCATCGGTTACCGGATTTATTGGATACCGATAGCATCGCGAACCGGGGGTCCACTGTACTGGTAGTCAGAGAAATTAACATTGATCAATTATCTAATGCTATCCCATTAATGGAGTGGGTAAAAGAGTGCTTATTTCATTACTGCAATATTACAGACTCTTGCTTTGGATGGTGGAAGTTTTTGGTACAAGTCTGGAGAGATGAGCCGCCTCTCAGAAGTTACTGCTGATCAGTGGGATGTAATGGAGAAACTGATCCGAGGAACTTCAAGCAGAGATAAAGCGCTCATCAAGGCTAAACTGTAAAATTTGTATTATAGGTAATGTCCATTATCATTCTATTTCCATCTGGAACATCTGAGCGGTGGAGCTTGAGAATCACCAATGGTCAGTATTACCTGGAGTATACCTGGAGGGCATTGGGGGATGTCAACACCCCCGCAGCCTGGTTCATGACCAGGCCTCACGGTGGATCAGAGCCTGATCAACAAGGCTAACATTAATGAAAACCTTTTTTTATCTGACACTTATAATAAGGTTGTTCACTGGGCAAGGTACATGGGTAACACAACACAACTTACCCAAATTAATTAATCCCATATTTTTATTTATGTATAATGTTGGAGTGTGAGCAGGGTAATATTTTGTGAAGGGAATAAGGGAAACCAGTTAGCCAGACTTTAGTCCTAGAAGTGGAAAGTACAGTACCTGCACTTTAAAGGAGGGGTTTGGGATATTGACTGTTTGGAGAGGCATCTCAACTGTCGTATCTGAGTGCTTCTGCAAAGACAGTGATTATGTATGAATGATGGTGAAAGTTCTCCATGGGGAGATGGAGCAGAATTCTTCCTCCATAAGCCATGCTTGTCATAAGAGGTGACTAAAAGGCCGGAAGCAATGGCTAGTAACCCCTTCTCCTGTATACATTACTAGAGTTAAAAAGAGATACTTTTATAAAACTGGGATGCTTGAATGTGCGTGGATATAGTGCGGAGGACAAGAAACAGATGATTGCTGATGTTATGAATGAAAAGAAGTTGGATGTCCTGGCCCTAAGCGAAACAAACCTGAAGGGGATAGGGAAGTTTTGGTGTGGAGAAATAAATGAGATTAAATCTGGAGTATCTGAGAGAGTTAGAACTAAGGAAGGGGTAGCAATAATGTTCAAGGATCAGTTATGGAAGGAGAAAAGAGAATATGAATGTGTAAATTCAAGGATTATGTGGATTAAAGTAAAGGTTGGATGCGAGAAGTGGGTCATAATAAGCGTGTATGCACCTGGAGAAGAGAGGAATGTAGAGGAGAGAGAGAGAGATTTTGGGAGATGTTAAGTGAATGTATAGGAACCTTTGAGCCAAGTGAGAGAGTAATTGTGGTAAGGGACCTGAATGCTAAAGTAGGAGAAACTTTTAGAGAGGGTGTGGTAGGTAAGTTTGGGGTGCCAGGTGTAAATGATAATAGGAGCCCTTTGATTGAACTTTGTATAGAAAGGGGTTTAGTTATAGGTAATACATATTTTAAGAAAAAGAGGATAAATAAGTATACAAGATATGATGTAGGGCAAAATGACAGTAGTTTGTTGGATTATGTATTGGTAGATAAAAGACTGTTGACTAGACTTCAAGATGTACATGTTTATAGAGGGGCCACAGATATATCAGATCACTTTTTAGTTGTAGCTAAACTGAGAGTAAAAGGTAGATGGGATACAAGGAGAATAGAAGCATCAGTTAAGAGAGAGGTGAAGGTTTATAAACTAAAAGAGGAGGCAGTTAGGGTAAGATATAAACAACTATTGGAGGATAGATGGGCTAATGAGAGCATAGGCAATGGGGTCGAAGAGGTATGGGGTAGGTTTAAAAATGTAGTGTTCGAGTGTTCAGCAGAAGTTTGTGGTTACAGGAAAGTGGGTGTGGGAGGGAAGAGGAGTGATTGGTGGAATGATGATGTAAAGAGAGTAGTAAGGGAGAAAAAGTTAGCATATGAGAAGTTTTTGCAAAGTAGAAGTGATGAAAGGAGGGAAGAGTATATGGAGAAAAAGAGAGAGGTTAAGAGAGTGGTGAAGCAATGTAAAAAGAGAGCAAATGAGAGTGTGGGTGAGATGTTATCAACAAATTTTGTTGAAAATAAGAAAAAGTGAGATTAATAAGTTAAGGAAGCCTAGAGAACAATTGGATTTATCATTTAAAAATAGGAGAGGAGAGTTATTATATGGAGAGTTAGAGGTATTGGGAAGATGGAGGGAATATTTTGAGGAATTGTTGAATGTTGATGAAGATAGGGAAGTTGTGATTTCGTGTATAGGGCAAGGAGGAATAACATCTTGTAGGAGTGAGGAAGAGCCAGTTGTGAGTGTGGGGGAAGTTCGTGAGGCAGTATGTAAATTGAAAGGGGGTAAGGCAGCTGGGATTGATGGGATAAAGATAGAAATGTTAAAAGCAGGTGGGGATATAGTTTTGGAGTGGTTGGTGCTATTATTTAATAAATGTATGGAAGAGGGTAAGGTACCTAGGGATTGGCAGAGAGCATGCATAGTTCCTTTGTATAAAGGCAAAGGGGACAAAAGAGAGTGCAAAAATTATAGGGGGATAAGTCTGTTGAGTATACCTGGTAAAGTGTATGGTAGAATTATTATTGAAAGAATTAAGAGTAAGATGGAGAATAGGATAGCAGATGAACAAGGAGGCTTTAGGAAAGGTAGGGTGTGTGTGGACCAGGTGTTTACAGTGAAACATGTAAGTGAACAGTATTTAGATAAGGCTAAAGAGGTTTTTGTGGCATTTATGGATTTGGAAAAGGCTTTTGACAGGGTGGATAGAGGGGCAATATGGCAGATGTTGCAGATGTATGGTATAGGAGGTAGGTTACTGAAAGCAGTGAAGAGTTTTTACGAGGATAGTGAGGCTCAAGTTAGAGTATGTAGGAAAGAGGGAGATTATTTCCCAGTAAAAGTAGGCCTTAGACAAGGATGTGTGATGTCACCGTGGTTGTTCACTATATTTATAGATGGGGTTGTAAGAGAAGTAAATGCGAAGGTCTTGGCAAGAGTTGTGGAGTTAAAAGATAAAGAATCACACATAAAGTGGGAGTTGTCACAGTTGCTCTTTGCTGTTGACACTGTGCTCTTGGGTGATTCTGAAGAGAAGTTGCAGAGGTTGGTGGATGAATTTGGTAGGGTATGTAAAAGAAGAAAATTGAAAGTGAATACAGGAAAGAGTAAGGTTATGAGGATAACAAAAAGATTAGGTGATGAAAGATTGGATATCAGATTGGAGGGAGAGAGTATGGAGGAGGTGAATGTATTCAGATATTTGGGAGTGGACGTGTCAGCGGATGGGTCTATGAAAGATGAGGTGAATCATAGAATCGATGAGGGGAAAAGGGTGAGCAGTGCACTTTGGAGTCTGTGGAGACAAAGAACTTTGTCCTTGGAAGCAAAGAGGGGAATGTATGAGAGTATAGTTTTACCAACGCTCCTGTATGAGTGTGAAGCATGGGTGATAAATGTTGCAGCGAGGAGAAGGCTGGAGGCAGTGGAGATGTCATGTCTGAGGGCAATGTGTGGTGTGAATATAATGCAGAGAATTCGCAGTTTGGAAGTTAGGAGGAGGTGCGGGATTGCCAAAACTGTTGTCCAGAGGGCTGAGGAAGGGTTGTTGAGGTGGTTCGGACATGTAGAGAGAATGGAGCGAAACAGAATGACTTCAAGAGTGTATCAGTCTGTAGTGTAAGGAAGGCGGGGGAGGGGTCGGTCTAGGAAAGGTTGGAGGGAGGGGGTAAAGGAGGTTTTGTGTGCGAGGGGCTTGGACTTCTAGCGGGCATGCGTGAGCGTGTTTGATAGGAGTGAATGGAGACAAATGGTTTTTAATACTTGACGTGCTGTTGGAGTGTGAGCAAAGTAACATTTATGAAGAGGTTCAGGGAAACCGGCAGGCCGGACTTGAGTCCTGGAGATGGGAAGTACAGTGCCTGCACTCTGAAGGAGGGGTGTTAATGTTGCAGTTTAAAAACTGTAGTGTAAAGCACCCTTCTGGCAAGACAGTGATGGAGTGAATGATGGTGAAAGTTTTTCTTTTTCGGGCCACCCTGCCTTGGTGGGAATCGGCCAGTGTGTTAATAAAAAAAATTCTTTTGTTTTTCTTTTAGGGCCACCCTGCTTTGGTGGGATATGGCCAGTTTGTTGAAAGAGAGAAAGAAAGATGGTGAAAGTGTTGAATGATGATGAAAGTTTTTTCTTTTGGGGTTTTTCTTTCTTTTTGGGTCACCCTGCCTCGGTGGAAAATGGCCAATGTGTTCAAACAAAATTAAATGAAATAATACTTTTAAAAAATGTGTGAAACAACACAAAAATCATGTATGTGTATATTAAAAAAAATAATTAAGTTCTTTGAGACTGCTACATGTCAACATTATGCACGTTGTGAGAAAAATGATACGACAATTCAGTTTTACTGAAGCACTTTGTGGTATAGAGATTGAGGTGTGTTTTACAATATGCCAGGTGGAGCCATGGTCATGTACACACAAACTATATACTATTCAGTACAGTAGTTCCTTCACTTACAACCCTAATGTATTCCTGGAAGTGTTTGTGACAGTGTTCGGAACTCAGAACCATTTTGTCCCATACACGAATTGATTTTCATTGAACATTCATTCCTGAACTATAATATTTCAGATGTTATTTTTCAAATAGTAAATTGACAAAAATGTTCATTGCATCACTGAGTACCTCTCTCTTATCTTCCCTCCTGGGGAGTATATTTAGGGTATACCAGGTGAGCACAGCACCCACCGAAGATGGTACATTCATCATGAATATTAAGCTCACTCGGTAATATAATCTTGGATCATAATGGAAAACTAATTTTCTGTTCCTTGTTATGAAGTATTGTGGCTGTTATTGTGAGATAGCATTGTGCACCTCACTGTACTACACTGGCACTGCACACCCCACTATGCTACACCACTGTTTCCCTCCCTTATTCTCTCCCTACTGCTCTCATTCCCTAATCTCTCTCTCATTTCCTGATCTCCCTCTCATTCCCTAATTTTCCTCTCTCATTCCCTAATCCCCCTCTTTCTCTAATCCCCCTCTCTCATTCCCTAATCCCCCCTCTCTCATTCCCTAATCCCCCTCTCTCATTCCCTAATCCCCCTCTCTCATTCCCTAATTTCCCTCTCACATTCCCTAATCTCCTCTCATTCCCTAATCTTCCTCTCTCATTCCCTAATCTACCTCTCTCATTCCCTAATCAATCATATCTCATTCCCTAATCTTCCTCTCTCATCCTAATCTCCCTATCATTCCCTAACTCCC